ATGAGAGAGAGAGAGAGAGAGAGACAGAAGTGCAAGTGCAAGTGCCTCTGTCTCTGTGTGTGTCTCTCTCTCTCATGGGACTTGCTGGAGGGCCATGGGAGGGCCGCATTTACATAGAGCAGGGAGGGCTGTTCGAGGGCCGGATTAAACCGGGCCGCGGGCCGCAAATGGCCCGCGGGCCGGACTTTGGACATGCCTGGTTTAAGGCATTGGGCAACCCTCAGAATGGGCTAATTCGGTAACCAGATGAAGCAAGTTAACAAACGAACTTGGGGAAATTAGATTAGGCCTTTTTTTCTGGTTAGCTAGTTTTTTTTTTAAGGGCTGGGAAAGAAAGATTTCATAGTAAGCGAACACTCAAATATGTGATTCTTTCTCACGTAGCTTGAAATAACCTAAATCCTGGAAACTCTGAGCATTGTCCCAAAGGTGCTTTTTCAGGAGGCAACTGGACTTTCTTGTTTTATCTTTGAAGACGTTTCGCTTCTCATCCAAGAAGCTTCTTCGGCTCTGACTGGGTGGTGGGGAATGGAAGGATTTATTCTCCTCGCAGACAGCTGGCCATTTGCCTTCTTTTAGAGCAGCGGTTCTCAACCTATGGGTCGCGACCCCATTTGGGGTCGATCGACCATTTCACGGGGGTCGCCAAGCAAGGCTGTCCGCCATTTTTTTTGTCCGCCATTTTTTTCCCCTTTTCCGGCGGGTGCCTTACCTCCCTTGGGCTGGGCCAGCTGGTGGTCGGCCTGCTCCGTCTCTGCCGCTTGCCAGCTACGCCTCGACCGGCGCAGGGGGCGGAACCACGCATGCGCGGCGCTCCCGGGCAGGGAAAGTCCTCGACTTACGACCGGTTGGGTAGTCCTCGACTTACGACCGGTTTAGTCCTCGACTTACGACCGGTTTAGTCCTTGACTTACGACCGGTTTAGTCCTCGACTTACGACCGGTTGGGGGTCGCGGCATTAAAAAGGTTGAGAACCACTGTTTTAGAGAGTCGTTGAGGCCACTTGGAGGTTTATCTGCGCCCTCAGGGTCACCTGAGTGGTGCAAATAGGTGTGGAGCCTTCTTGGAACTGCTGAAAGGACCGTGTTGTAGACTGGAGATAGATGATGTCATATCCCTTCCCCATTTGTTGAGAAAGGGCTGTTCAAAATCATCAGACTAACTTCAGAGACCTCCCTTGAAAACAGTCTTATGCAGGGGTGTCAAAACTCAATTTCATTGAGGGCCGCATCAGCATTGCGGTTGCCCTCAGGGGGGCCGGGTGGGTTTGGCCAGTGTTATGTGCTCCTGGCTACTTTC